TCATGTATTCTCCCATATTACTGTTTGGCAATGACAAGTAAAAGCACCTCCTTCAATGTTACATCTTTTACCTTCGAAACCTATATTATCTACTTGAATTCTTTATTCAACCCTCTGATCTATGCCCTTTTCTATCCCTGGTTTAGAAAATCCCTTAAACTTATTCTTACATTTCGATTATTGCATGGTTCCAGAGATGCCAACATACAGAGAACTGACACTAACGAGGGACGTTAAAAAAATCTGCAGGTAAAAATTCCCAAACACTGTTTGAAATATTCATTATTCTTCCAAGAACATTTCTAATATAATTTACAATCATGTCACTTTGCTGTTTTTTTTTTCTTTCCCCTTATGAGTCTGAGATCACATGTCAGGCCACAAATCTTTGTTCCTTTCTCATATTACACAGTATGTTTTTTATTCTGATTGATTTATAGTTGTAAACTTGGTCACTGGAAGCATCATAGATATGCTCCTTCAAATTATGTGTGAGAGACTTTAAAGTTTACAAAAAACGAGAGGTAATACGTCATTATTTTACAACTGTTTTCATCACTTTTATATTTCCTGGTAGAAATGGAACTGTACCATGACCTGTACTATTTAATGCGCTTTATTCCATAACATGAGAACAAATAACAAAAATAAATCATCACTGTTGAAGGAAGTTAAATCCGCTGGTTTATCTCATTAAAATAAAATACATAATTGTTTTAAGATATGTTAAAAACCATTTCAGTAAACACTTATTTGTAGCAATCATCAGGTCATATTGAGGAAATAATCATAGAAGTCACAAGCTGAAAATTTCTGTTTTTTTTCCCGCCCTTTTTTCCTGACAGCTTGATTCCTCAGAGTACTTCAATCAGTTTCCATCTTTCTAACAGAATCTGACAGATCATCTTAAGAAGAGGTCAGGTCATTGGGCATGAATACATTTCCTCTAAATACAGACTGACCGTGAAACAGAATGTCTGATGGCCAGAGCATTGAGTTCCAAAATCTCCCATGAAAATCATCTTAAAAACATATAGCTTATCTTTAAAAAGCTTCTGATTAATGAGCACTGACTCACCCCTGAATCACTTTCATACAAGGATCCACACTGCATGCTTTAGTCGAACACCACCAGGTAGCTAAATACCACCCCTTTATCAATGTTATCAATTCCTGCACTATGGGCAGGAATGTTGGTCATCACTAATCAACTAATATTGGTAAACCGAAAAAACAATGGTAATGAGCTTTAAACCGTTTAAACTCGTTTTTATTAGTTTTATGGCAGTGCCTCCAATAAGCAGGAAAATATCAATATCTCTGTTTTAAAACCTTTAAAACCTACTAAAACAATTGACTTGAGCTTTAAAACCTTATTTATGTCTTTGTGACCTTTTCAATGAATTGTCCATCCATTATCGCTTATTCCCAAATTATGTCACGGGGAGAACTGGAGCCTATCCCAGTAGCCAATGGGGAGAGGCGGGGTCACCCTGGACGGTCCCCAGTCCATCGCAAGGCCACACAGAGACACACAAGGACCAACAACCACAACCTAAGGGAAATTAAGAATGTCCAATCAACCAAACATGTAGGTTTTTGGACTGAACACAAAGACACAGGAGAACATGCCGACTCCACCCAGAAAGGTCTTGGTTCCCCCGGGACTAAAACCCAGAACCCTCTTTCTGTGAGGCGATGGTGCTAACCACCGCACCACCATGCTGCCCCTAATGAATTGTAGGTCATACAAAAGATAGGAGGCTTAAGATGTCAGAGTACAGCCATGCACAAAGAAGAGTCTTAATGACTTTAAAAGAGCAAATTCAGTATTTAAGAATATCATTCCCAGATAATACATTTACCCTTTCAATTCAGTTCAGATTAGGACCCATTTCTTGATAGTAAAATCTTTATGTTTGAATATAAATTTACAGGCATGATAAATTTCTCATGTTTGTTGTGATTAGAAAATTTACACAAAATGGTGGACTCCTTTTAAAACTAGCAGCAAATTAAATGCATGTGGTTCATTTTACTCACAAGTCCTTTCAGTTAGTTGAAGTTCCTGATCACTGGTGTTAGCTTCCATCTTACGGCTGTTTGGAGTACATCAGGGTGAAACTGCCACTGGCCTAAGGACAGAAAAAATATACAGAAAATACATCTCAGTTCAGTGTCCATTAAAACTCTCTGTTTAGCTAAAGAAATTCACCTAAACTTATAAACTTTTGTTAGAATTGGGCTATAATTACTCACTTTAGCATAGCATGCTACAACTTAATCCATGTAAATGACTGATCTTATTATTCCTTTTAGATTCATATTATTCCCTTTAGAATTGTACTTTTGGGTTAAACTCTCTGGCTGTGCCTCCTCCTCCTCTCTCTGTTACAGTAGATACTCATCTTTAAGGTCAACATACACACACACACACACTTTCTTAGCATGTTTCACTGAAACCTGCATGAATGAAGAGCCTCTGGCCTGTACATGACCGAACTAACTGACCAATAACACTCGGTTACCCCCAGCCATCCTCCCATTTCGAGGCCGGCCCAGAAGATAACTGCCCAGCAAGAGATCCTCCGGAAGCTTTTGTCTGAGAGCCCAACGCTGATATACTTTACTTATGACCAATAAATGTCATATTTGTACTCTTGATCTACTCTGGTTTATTCTCAGGCTTCCAACTACAGAACCAAATCTAACACTTTACAAGCAGAGCTACATTTATCCGGTGTTAAAATGCTACTGGCCTAAGGACAGAAAAAATATACAGAGAATACATCTCAGTTCAGTGTCCATTAAAACTCTGTTTCATCAAAGAAATTCACCTTTACAAGCAGGGCTGCATTTATTCAGCGCTAAAATGCTAACATGCTAACTCGCGATTAGCATTTAACCCTACTTTTACATTTCGTCTCAGTATAAATATCATATACATCAAGTACTCACTCATCACAGGTTTACACAGTCTCAAACAGGAACCGAGGCTTTGAATTCATGAGTATTTTACGACCGTTTTCACCGAAGCTTATTTTCCCGCCTCTTTCCAAAAAGTCCCGCAACCAATGGCAAAGGAAGTTTTACAATGTGTCACTTAAATCCCGCCCCCTGCACCTGATTGGACGTTTGGTTGAAATCAGCCAATATTATTTAAGAGAATACTAGACTTAACCAACACAACAATCCGGTTGTGAGGGCTCCGTTTTTAAACCTACAATTCACACAAGCTTGATAAAAACTGTATTTTACTAAAAGAAATGAAAAAACTATAGGTTGACAGAACTTTTTACACTATTTATGAAACATATATTGACTAGTTTTTATTTGTGATTTTAACTATATTTTAGCCTGTTAATTTGTTTTTAATATATTTAGAACATGTTTACAATTACTTAATCAAAAGTTGGTATTCACATTTGAATATGTATAGTGTGAAGTG